GCCCCTGCTGGGACAGAACACTTAACTCCAAAATGTATTACAAGGCGAGCATGGCAGCACTCAGGAGGCTAAGCAGGAGAATAGAGAATTCAAGGTCAGCCTGGGCTACATAGTGAAATCCTGTCTCTCAAATAGAGCAACTTCTGTTACAAAGGGCAGTTTCATGAGAGTTCCATAAAGGCAGCGTGCTTTTCAAGAGGGAGACAATTTGAGACAGGATCTTATGGATCCTGGTGTCCTCCAACTCACAGTGATCATCTTGTCTTAGTCTCCCACCCAGCAGAAACAGAGCTAGATTATTCCAGTCCTGGGGCTTGAATATAGCACCGCGGGCTAAGCAAATGCTCTACCACTGTGTATTCCCCAGACCCAACTGAACAGTCTTTTTTTAATTCTCATAACAGCCGTGGCGAAGAAAATTGGCAACATGAAGCCCAGATGTCTTTCAGTATGAAAACCATGCTTCAATGGCACCTTGCCACCTACCTACTTAAAACAGATTTCATAAAGTAAGATAATTCACACAGAAAAAGCAAAGACTTGAAAGAACACATCCCAGGAGCAAATAATGCCTGGGGTCACGAAGAGATTAGGGAAACCCTTAATGAGTCAGCCCCGTGGACCCTGTTATGGTGAGTCTCCTCTAACATCCCTGAAGGGGAAGCAGCTGCCACACATGGAAATCGCGGGGATTGATTTTGATCTCAGGGTAAAGAAAATGTTTCTGGCCAGTGTTCTTGTTTGTTTCCTAGTGCTGTGATGAATACCATGAGCAAAAGCAACCTAGGGAGGAAAGGGTTTATTATAGCACAGTTTACAGCTCGTCATATCAAGTAACCCAGGACTAATTACAGGGGTGACATTGCCCATGGTGGGGTAGGTCCTCCCACATCAATCATTAGCCAAGAAAGTGGCCCTACTGACTTGCCTATCGGCCAATCTCAATTGAGGTTCTCTCTTTCGAAACGACTCTACCTATGTCATAAGTTACAATATCTAAACATAGAGTTGCTGGGGAAAATAGTAAGCTCATGGGACCCTGGGCTTTTCAAATGCAGACCATCTAAGAAGAGACAAGATTGAACAAGACACTTTAGTGGACCCACTGACTTTGACGGGTCTTCACGACTGAGGTTTTGAGTCTTTCACTTCCAGCAAAAGAAAGCCCAAAGGATTTCCTGTATCTACCCAGAGGAGAAATTCCCTATCTTTAAATAAAATGTTAAAATAAAATCTTAAAATGAATGCATTTTTTATTGCTATAGAAGACATGTCACATCAGAAAGCAGGCTCGGTAACCTGACTTACCCTCACATGCTCTAAGATCTGCCTGGCTTCCCTTGTAGGCTCTGTGGCAGTGTGTTTTCTCTGACTGGGTTCTTCCCCTTACTCAGCAGTTAGATTTTGTAGGGAAATTAATGAATCTAGAACTCAAAGTAATCAATCTTCTTTGAGTTTTGCAATTTCAGATCAGGCAAGCCATGCTGAATCCACGAATAAATTTCCATTTCTGGCCCAAAGAGCTAAGAATCAACCTCTGGAACTTAGTGATCTTTCTTAAAGCAGACGTGTCTATGCTGGGCTATCAGACAGCTGGTGCTGTGTCTCCTTGCCCTTGAATTCATAATTATATTAACAATTATTATAGCTGTGACAATTGAGAAGATAATGTAACAAAATGGGTTACTAAAAGACAGAACTAATTTTATTTCAACTTGATCCAATTGTTTGCTACTGTAGACCAATTAAGGAACAAAAAGCAACAGGCCACCTTTTCTTGGGCATTTGCCAAGTCTTTCTAGAAGATAAGGGCCTAGATATTCCATGTGTGAAATATTCCTTTTGTTTGTGGGTTGAAAAGGGGAAATCAGGTGGATTCTTAGGGAGCTGAAAAGACAGAGATAGAAGATATATAAAGTCCACCCTGCTCATCCCAGTCCCTTTGAGCTGGCCGACTCTTGAGGGCAATGAAGCTGTAAAACCAGGGTGGTGTGACTACTATGGTTGGGATCCTGCAGGAGGAGCCTCTGGCTTCCCCATTTGAAAGGACCCCTGTGCTCCAGACCCACAAAATTGGTCCGTCCGCAACTGCCTCATCTCTGGAAAATCAAATCAAAATGAGACAGAGTCACGGGGAGGGGGTGGTGGATGGAGCGCCAACTAGGACACTGGCACCCCAATAGTGACACCATGCGGTCAAAAGGAGCATCCGCAGCACAAAACCATGAGTAAAAAAAGTCTCTAGCGCAAAGCTGCCAGTCTTGTGGAGAGGGATGAGGTAGCAACCACAGCCACAATCGGGCCACTAGAGCATTGGAGGCTGGGCAAGCGCTGCCTTGGGAGCGAGGAAGAGAAAGGTCTGGTCCTGAAACTGGTGTTCCTTGCTGAGCTGTGCAGGAGACGAGACTGAGAGCACGTAGCTCACTGAGATAACAAAGGCTCAGTATCCCTCAAATGCTCAGAAGCAGAAGTCTTCCCAGATTCTGCAATAAAGCACTTGCACCTATGTACAGTGAGAGCTCTGGCGGCTGGATCCCGAGCCCAAATGTGTGTGTTCCCATGCGCTTTATACACATGGCCTGAAGGGAAGTTTCGTGTAAAACATTTAGTGTACCTGCACTCCCGTACTGACCTGTGGGGTCAGGTGTGGAATTCTCCACTTGTGGCATTATTTCAGTGTTCAGATTTTGGGGGTTATTGTAGCATGAGGACACACAGCAAGAGACAGAGGGGCCACCTCACAAGAGGACTTTAGGAAAAGGGTGGGTGACACCGAGGGCATGAGTCAGGAGTCTGTGTGGTCAGACTGGCAGTCTAACCCTGGCTATGTAAAAGAAGGCCGCAAAAGGCCACAAAGAAGAGCTTTAAAGGGGAACCATACTGTTGAGATCAAGTCCATGATAACTGTTTCCTAATGGCAGGGAATGACAGAATCATCTAACCAATCAGAAAGCTCAAGTTTCTATGCAAAGGATGGTGCCATTCATTAGTAAAGAAAACTCAGGAGAGGGAGAGATTCTAACTATGCCCGGCAGCCTGCCACATAGTAGGCATTCAACAAATGACTGTTGGCACAGAATGGAACGTAATCAAAAGTTACAAAAGAACATAGGAGCTGGGGCGACGGCATGTGTGACTCCTGCAGAGGACCTGGGTTCAGTCCCAACACCCACGTGGTGGCTTGCAACCATTTGTAGCTCCTGTTCCAGATGATCTCATGCCCTCTTCTGGGTTCTATGGGCTCCAGGCATACACGTGGGGCACAGGCATGCATATAGGCAAAAAAAACATAAAATAAACTTTAAAAATGTTTTAAATTAGAAGACAAAGTGCCAAGGCCTAGTGGGTATATGTCACATAAGCCTGACAACCTGAGTTCAGTTCCCACAGTGGAAGTAGATAGCAACCACTAAAAGTTGACCTTTAACCTTTACACACATATGGTGATGGAATGCATGGGTTTGCTTTTTTTTTTTTAATATGAGAGAAACAAACTTCTAGAGTCACTGGCAGCTTGTGTCACATGGATGACATCGGAGAACATGCAGTCCCTCAATCACTTGCACATCATTTGTGTGCGCCATCTGATCCAGACACACGCACTGGTGTCCCCCACAGCCACACATCGCCAGATGTGTAGGCCAGCTGCAGTTAGTACCCCGAAGGAAGACGTCATGAGCAACTGTACTTCTGCCCCAACTGGCCAAGCAGAGAGAAACATGGCTACATCAAGCAGCAGGCCTTCCACACAGCCCAGCTTCCTTAAAAGGATACCCTCCCCTGGCACGCCCACTGGGATTATGACCGGGCTTGTGCTGGATATGAAAGTGTCCACAAAAATGGTGGTGAGCATTTGAATATTCCAGAATATTTCGAAGTCCATGGAGCTGACATGATGTGTACCTTTAAGGAGGAATTGGCACTGCAGTCGTTCATTCTATTATGAAACAGGTACAGAATTAACACCTCATGGTATTCTACTGAAATGATTTGTTTTTAAAATTTTCAATGGACAGCTTTTGGCCTGAAGGGAGGCAGATTATGGTAGCAGGCATATCTGGCTGAGAATGCTCACTTCACAGCATCCAGGAAACAGAGACAGGCAATAAAGTGTCCATCTGTCTGTGCACACACACAGCGACCTACTTTCTCCAGCTAAGACTTACCTCCCACTTTTCACCATCTCCCAATAATGGTGACATATGATGGATCCATCAAGAATCCATTTATTATATCAGAACCCATTCTGCTACAACAAAAAGAGAAAGGAAGGAAGGAAGAAAGAATGAATAAAAAAAAAAAAACCTTGCAACCAAGCTCACAGCAATGAGCTTTCAGGGAACATTTCAGATTCAAACCCTAACAAAAATCTAAAAAGCATCTATAGCCTATTGTTATTTTATTTTTTTGCATTGACATGAAGACTGTGGAATTACATTTCACGCATGAAGTCAGTTCATCATGCTGTCTTTGTAAGGATGCTCAAATCTAAGCAGCCTAGACTCAGCCTATGAGGTTACTCATTTGTTTTTGAAAACAAGGAGTGGTTTGTGTGTTTTATTATGGGCAGGAGAGCATAAGTAGACCCAGGGCTACTTTTGGATTGCTTTTCAACTGCGCCCCACCCCAACGGTCTGGATTGTATGTGGCCTCTAGGAGAGACCTCGGCGAGCATCAGACAGTAGAAGCAGGAAGACTGGAAACAATCTGATGAATGCACCCTGTGAAACTCCACTCTGATAGCGATCCAAGAGGCTAAATAGTTAACATCAACTGGGCATTTTCATCAAAGAACAGCACAGCACCCTCCACCCCAGCAGGGCCCCAAACTTCATTTAGATGTATGTCCCCACAAGGAAAGTGTTTAAGCAGTAAGTGGCCAGCCGGGTATTTCTCCGAGCCAATGGAGGAGACACGGAGCCTCTCCACCATTCCAGGCTCCACCATGCTTACTCCTCCTACTGCCCTCCCCACCTCAGCCCATCCTCGCCCTTTCACATGGACTCTGGGTTAGATGAAATTACTTTTATTGCAGTGAGCCTAAATTAGGTTGAATGCTCCTTTTCCGGAGGACACGGGGTACCAGACTGGAAGGCCAGGAAGGGAGGGTCGGAACTGGGCAGTGGATGCAGGATTTTCTCCTTATTTGGGTGTAAGTGCTGCACGCCTTAAGGATTTATTTTGGGACAAGGCCTAAACCCCGAGTGGGGCCGGCAGCTCCAGCGATCAGGCTGCACTCTCGATTTGAAGCACAGGCCTTTCGGGATCTTCCTTGGTAGCCTGAGGAGATTCTGGCTCCAGGGCAGACTCTAGTGAGGACTCCTCCGGTGCAGCGGGTTGAGCTACAGGCTGGCCATCTGGTGGGCCTTCAGAGCTCCGGACAGGCCCTAGGCGTGGCGGCTTGACTGGTGTGGGTTGTGCTTTACGACTGGAAAGGGCCCTTCTTAGGCTCTGTACCTTCTCCAAGCCTGTGCGTCGCAGTCGCTGAGCCCGGGACTCCACCGGCTCCTCGTCTGAACTCTCTCCAGCTTGATCTTCTGGCTGCTCTGGGCCTGGCACTGACTGGTCCTCGGGGCCCAAAAGTTCTGGTGCTTTCTGGAAGGCGCGGGCTGGAATTTCAGTCTCCTCCTGAATGTGACGACACAGCTTTTTGATTCTGGCAGGCACTTAGCCAGCACCAGCCTGAAACTCTCTCCCCGCGGTTACACCAAAGGAAGCTACTCCACCCTTTGCCTCTGCACCAAGAATTGGACAAATGAGAGGAGTGGGAAAGATGGGGCCAGGAGCAGAGGAATGAGCAGGAAGGGAGAAAGTGGGCTGCACACGTTTGCAAAGTAGATGAAATCTGTAAGGTATGAAAGAAGGTAACAGCTGTATGGGCCCTTGGAGGAGGTACAGAAACACCACAGCCGTTATTTTCATGTGGTTGGGACTGACCAAATCTTCAGACTGGCCTGAGTTATAGCGGGGAGGGCATGGATTGGCCAGGCTGGGAGTAAGAGAGGTATAAGGCCACGATGCGGGAAGTCAGAAGTGGGTGCAGTCAGAAGTGGGTGCGTCTCTGAGAGTTTGTTCCACAACTGAGGGCGGGCACGTAGGGTCAGGAGGTGGTGGACCGGTGGAAGGCGGGAGTCCCTCTAGGTGGTCTAAAGGCGGGATGAGGGGGTGCCTAAGGTCACTGACCTTGAAGAGCAGGACGTGCAGCTTCCCGCGCGCCACCAGCAGCCCGTGGTTGGCCTCCAGCCGCTGCACCTGAGCTGCGCGGTGCAGCGCCCGCTCCTGGGCTGCATCGGCATGAGAGCCCACGCGCTCCGCCTTGGCCAGCAACTGCGCTAGTGTGTTGCTGGTGGTGTCGTGGCTGCGACTCAATGAGCCCAGGCCGCTCTGAATGCGGCGCACCGAGCCTGCCAAGCCGCCTTGCCTCTCGGCTAGGCCACCCTGCCGCTCCCGCAGCGCCTCCAGCATTGTGGCCAGCTTCTCCAGCAAGGTCACCACGGTGACGGCGTGCACGGGACCCCCGGCAGGGGCCCCGGGCACGGGCCCAGACTCCAGCGAGCTCTCCCCCATGATCTCTGACAACCCTGCCTGCTCTCCCAGCGACCGATTGCTGCGATCTGGGCTAGGGACGCCTTTCCCCGCCTCCTCCCCAGTTCAGGCCGTGACTCAGCCAGGCGGAGTTGGCATCTCCCGCGGTGGGAGAAGGAGGAGGCCGAGCAGGGGGCGGGATGTCCGAAGGGGGCTCTTTCGAGGACTCCGCCCCGGGATCTGCGGGGAGGCAGGCTGGCCCAGAAGTACCCCACAAACCCTTTTCCCCTCTATTAGCTCAAGCTCTACAACCCGCCCTTTTCCGTGGGGGGCCTCTTTCAGGCCTATGCTCTCCCACAGCAAAGGACGAACCACTGAGATTTTCATTTCCCTTCATCGAGTGATCAAATTGTGTGCCTGTGGGGGTCGGGAGGATTAAAGGGATGAGGCATAACCTAAGCCTCCAACGCTGCTGAGCCCCACGCTGGGCGGAGTTCTGGGAAGTTTGGAATGTTCTGCTACAGCCCCAGGAGTGCCTAGGCCCAAGGCAGGGCTTTGTGTGGAGGCGGGCTGGGTGAGGAATGCTCTGATGTTTTCCACGTTTAGCCTCTGGCTTCGTTTAATGCTGTCTCTTCCTCTTGGTTTGGGTTGTCCTATTTTGGGCTTCGTGGGGAATAGCTCAGCTGTGGGTTGAATAGGAACTCCTTTGTGACTGTGGTTCCTGCTTAGAGTCTTCACTCCCCTGTCTCCATAACTGGTACACACTGGGGTAGGAAGATCACCCATTGGAGAGCAGTGTAGAACACACATGAGTGTTACAGAGTGAAAGGTCTATCCCTGATTTCTGATTGTGAAACTTTTGGTTTTTACTATTTATATTGGATTCGGGTTTTCTCATTTTGGACCCCAGAGTACTGGAGCCATCTAAGCCTGATGAACTAAGAGTGTTTGTTTGAGACAGGGTTTCGTGGAGCTGGAGCTGGCCCTGAACTCACTGATCAGCCTTGAACATCCATCCTCTTGCTTCCATCACCCAAGTGCTGGGATTACAAGTGTGCACCACCAAGAGCAGTTTGTGCTGGTGCTGGGAGTGGGCCCCAAGGCCCGTTACACCCTAGTCAACAACTCTACTAACTGAGCTACATCCACAACCCTGTTTCTGTGTTTCTGAGATAGGGTCTCACTGTATAGTCTGGGCCTCAAGCTCAAAATCCTGTCTCAGACACCTGAGTGTTGGGATAAACATATACCACCACACCCATTAGCTGGCTGACCCATTAGTTGGTTGGGTAACTGCAGCGTTAAGGGTAACATCCAAAACCTCAAACATGCTAGACAAGTGACCTGCCACTAAGCCATACTGCAACCCAACAACTTGGAAATGTGTGTATGTGCATGTACACATGTGTGTACAAAGGGTGTCAGGTCCCCTCAAGCTGTAGTTACAGGCACCTGTGAGCTATGTCCAGTGTGGGTGCTAAAGTAGATTTCCCATCCTCTGTAAGAGCAGCAGGTACTCTGACTGAGCCATGTCTCTAGCTTAGACACACCATATGTCTCAGGTCACCCAAGAGATTATGTAAATGAATAAGGTTGAGAAAAACCTTAGTGGCTGACCCTAGACAAGTGTAAGCCACAGTCTGGTCAGTTCTAAGTGCAGAGGCTCAATGATACGGTCGATGCCCATCACCATCCATCTCAGAAGTCAGATGAAAAGGGCTTGTAGCCTGGGATTTTAACCCTGCAATCCCAGATTAAGGATGAGGAGTCAGGAAGAGTGAGACTGAAATGGCATACCAAATGTGTGTAGTGAGGTTTTACATGGCACAAAGACCTCAAAAGTGAAGACATGAAGGGAAGCTGTCTCATTTTAAGCTTATGTTCAGTAAAGAATGGAGAATCACCCAGAGGTGGGATTAGACAAAAGGGTAAGGTCCGCTCAGACCTTTTTGATCTCTCTGTGCGGCGTCTTTCTCCTGGGTACAGAGCAAAATTCCCCTGCAACAAAGATGCTGAAGAAGATGAGCGACCCTTCTAATTTCTGTGAGATTTTTTTTAATTTAAAAAAAATGTGTATGTGTGCGCGCACACACGCATGTGCACATATGTGTGTGTGCGTGCATACACGCACATATGTGTGAGTAGACATGTGCATGTGAGGACAGGTGCCCACAGAGCCAGAGGCAGTAGATCCTCCTGGAGGTGAAGTTACAGGTGGTTGAGAGCACCCAATGTGTGTACAAGGATAGAAACTGCATCCTCTGAAAGAAAGGAATGTTCTTAACTATTGAGTCATCTCCCCATCCCATAATTTCTATGTTTTGTGTTAGAAAAGAATTGTGGTTTCTGTGAATAGCTTCAGGGGAGCTCAAGAAAAGAGGTGGCAGGAGACAGGCACCATGAGAAGATCGCTGAGGTCTTCCATTCTCCATCAGGTCAAATTCTCAACATGTCAAAATACAACGCTTTGTGGAATCATTTCCTGAGTCCCAACATAAAATAAAACAAAACTGAGGTCTCTGTAATTTCTCCCTCTCTCACTAAGGTGATTTGTGAGCATAGGCAAGTGGTCAAGGCAGCCCCTAGAGGGAAAACTACAGAAAAAATAGTCTAGATTTTCAACGAACACATGCCTTCAGCAACTAGGAATCACACTCCCCTTGAGAGAAAGACGGAAGCTCAGTGTTAGATTCATAATTCCCAAGTAGTCTCTGGGCTGTTCATAAACTGGAATTCTTCATGTCACATACCAGTGCAGGCTTAATGTTTCTGATTATCGAATGGAACAAAATCTTAGAAACAATGCAAGATATCTAGATGAGTTGGCTCAGCATTAAGAACCCTTGTTGCTCTTACAGAGAACCCAGGTTCAATCCCCAGAATGCATGGACATGGTAGTACACAACTATCTGTAACTCCAGACCCAGGGGATCTGAGGCCCTCTTCTGACTGCCATGGAAACCAGGCACACACATGATACACATACATACATACATGCAGGCAGAGTACTCATACACATCAAATAATAAGTAAATCTCAAAAGAAAATTAAAGAAATGTCTTTGGTCCTAGACATCAATTTCAGACACCCAGATAAGCTAAGCATCCTTCAGGGACTTAACCTTTGGATTGAAAGTCATAGTATGAGCCACTACCAATCCTGAACTTAAATGTCTGAAGCTAAATGAACTTTCTGCCCCTGAATTGGCTTCCTCGGCTGTTTGGTTACAGAAACAGAAAGCTAACACAGACATAGTTGCTTGAATATTTACCCGTGGCAAAGATTTCCTTTTGTGTCTTAGTTACTTTTCTATTGCCGTCACAAAACACCATGATCAAAGCAACTTACAAAAGAAAGCATTTAATCTGGGGGCTCACAGTTCCAGAAGGTTCTAGAGTCTATGACCTAACGTGGTGGAGAGCAGGGAAGAGGCAGGCAGGTGTGGCTAGCACAGTAGCTCAGAGCTTGCATCCTGATTCACAAGCACTAGGCAGAAAGAGCTAACTGGGAATGGTGTGGGTTGTTTGAAACCTCAAAGCCTCACCCCCAGTGACACACCTCCTCCAACAAAGCCACACCTTCTAGTCCTTCTCAAACAGTCCCACCAACTGGGGACCAAGCATTCAAATCTGTGAGCATATGGGGGCCATTCTCATCAAACCACCACACCTTGTAAATCAAATAATATCTGTGTCTGTTCTTTTCACCTCACTAATGCACTTATAGGTATCTGTGGTGGAGTCCTGCTAAGTGTACAAAAACACAAGTTTGTTGCTATCTTGAATGCCATTGGTTGTTTCTGGCTTTCTCACTGGCACGTTTCTGATGTTTTCTGTTAAAATGGACTCTCTGGACTGCGTTAACAGCTGGTCTTTCAAGTCCTTTTCTATTTTGCCATACATCTTAAGAATTACCTGGTATAGAACTGTAGAGCAGACACAGCCTCAGGTTGAGCTAAAAGAAAATCAAAAGACCGTGCCTATTCCCATTCGTCTGTCTCTCCCAGAGTGAGTCGACCAGAAATCCACAGCATCCAGTCCATAGGAAAAACCCCTACATGCTGTGCCCCCTACCACTGTTTTGATAGACAGCTGACTTCCCACTGTGGAACAACTTATCTGTGTTACTATTCTTTTACTGGGAACTCCAGTAAGAGTTTCCAGCAGCCTGGGTGAAACAGACTCGTTGCCAACCTACAAACTGGAAAGGGTGATTCATGCCAGATGCTAAGCAAGCGTCGAGGAGGAGGCGTGTTATTTGGACCACGTTTTCACTCTTAGTTGTGGAAATGATATCAGAGATGTTTTGTGGTTATTTTAGTAAACTACCCTAACAGTGGAAATAAAAGAAAAAGGAGATAAAATTCTAAGTAAGCTTTCCTCTGCTCCATCATGCCTAAATATGTAATTTTGTTGTTCAGTGCTACAAATGTTCTTTATTATTGTCCATACTAAATGTCATACTTTAAAAGAGAAGTATGTCACTGTTCTAGAAAATAAAATGACTAATCCTGTTTTGTTTGTTTTCTACAAGAGAAAAAGTTAACAGGGAATGAGCCTCAGTGGACAAGCACTACCTTCCCGCCTTTGTCATAGGCATCCTGCCTACGGAAAGGGAGGCCGCACCACACAATAGGGGCTCTGTGCCGCTGGCAGCTTCAATGCTTTAAAGATTTGCACTGTTTCCAGAAATTAAACTACTCCAATGGGTAGACCCCAGGTCATTATCGTGTGACCAGGAGACCAGGAGAACTAGGAATTCCTTCAATGACAAGAATCAGGCTTATGTCTCACTCAAATGATTGTCTTCTGTAGGATTTTCTTTTCTCAGCTTTTATAGATTGAATATTATCTCTCAGAAATATACACATGAGTCTTCACTCTCAGTACCTGTGAACGTGATCTTACTTGGGTACTGAATTTTGGCAGATAAAATTAAGTTAATGCTCTTAGGATGAGAATGCCCTGAATTTATGGTACACCCCTCAACTGTTGCCTTTATAAGGGAAGATAGAGAGTCTTAGGAAAGGAGATGATGTGAAGACCGAGGCAAGGAACAAGTCAAGGTCTGCAAATGACAATCAGAGCCCCCACAAATTAGGAGAGGCACATGGTATGTTTGCATTGTCCTGCCCAGCT